TGCTATTGAATTCATTTAGTCTGCTTTTAAAGTTTTGGTTACTGCCCTAAATGTCCATTTTTAAGATTTATTATTTGTATGTGTATGTGTGCAACTATATGAGTTTATGTGCACCATGTGCATGCAGGAGACACAGGTTAGAAAAGAATGTTGGATCCCTTGAAACTAGAGATACAAAGCATTATGAAGCCATCACATGGGAACCAGTCCTGGGTCCTTTGCAAGAACAGTAGCTATCTCCCCAGCCCTAATCTCCAATTTCTTACATTAGCCTTTGTTGGAAAATTATTATGATTGTGTGGTTGTGCATTTTTATAGTTGCTACTTCAAGGTCTTTATTAGGTTATTCCAGTGTTGATGTTGTTACCATGCTTGGTCAACCTGCCTGGAATTTAACAAGGAATTTAACATTCTGAATATCATATATGAGATCACGTCATCCAATTCTACTGTGAAGTGAGCCTTTCTGTTCCCAGAAACAAACAATGGGGTAAAGGGCAGGGTGTGACCACTAGTCTGTCTTGTCCATACACTGGTCAAAGACACAGGTCAAAGGCACAGGTCAAAGCCTGTGTGATTTGTCGTGCTCAGTGTGGAACTTGGGAAGTTACAGGGCTTTTTAGTTTGCTGAATAGGATCGGCATCAAAATACAATGATCTGAAAGTGATCCTTGTGGTTTGTAACATTATTTATATGGTTCTCCTGGGCTCTGTGCCCCCCCGTCTTTCCCCTACATCATAGTTCCTGGGTTCCCGCTTTAACCTCTGGCCAGGGACCGGACATTCTAATTACTCTTTATTTCATACTTCCACGAGTGTGACTTAATCCTCATCCGTGTCGAAGAGAAAGAGAAATTTGCTTTGCCTTTTTGAAGCCATAGCTTTTGCAATCATAAAATCTGCCCTCTCCACAAGTTGGAGTTTCTGTTGGCTTCCATAGCTCCTGGCTGTTCCTCACAGTACTGCCTCCAACAAGTTTCCTCAAGCTAATAGGACTGTAGATGTGTTAACTTTACCTTTTGGAGTCTGTCTAAGCCAATGTGACCTATATACTAATTACTACTCAAGGGGAAGTAGCATGACGTAGAGAATTCCTGTAAAGTTGAAACATGATTATCTAACTCAGTGCCTAGGGTGAAGACAACATAAGGCTAATTGGACATTCCCTATGTTCTTATAATTTTAGATGATCACATTTCTACAAGTTAAAAGATGGCAAAATTATAATTGCTGTGAAACTATACCTATGCTTACATGGAAATATGAATCTGTTTGTAAAATGTTGTACTTGCAAAGAGAATGTTTCTTGCAAAATTCAGGAAATACTGTCGGGAATGTTTTAGCTCTGTATTATCATATTTTTAGTCTTTTAAGTTTAGCAATATCTGGCCTACAAAAATATAAGGTTGACCTTAGTAATTCATACAGTACTATTTTCAAAGATTCAAGTTTCTATTAAAAAACAATGGTTTTATGTTGGGCATCTGTATGTATGTGATATATATATGTGTGTGTGTGTGTGTGTGTGTGTGTGTGTGTGTGTGTGTGTGTGTGTGTGTGCGTGCGCGCACATATGGGAGCCAGAGGAGGACATGGGTGTCTCTAGCTTATTCCTTTGAGACAATTTCTCACCTAACTTGAAGCTAGGTTGTTGGTCCATACAGCCCAGTGATGTGCCTCAGTTGAGGTTACAGACACCTGTGAGGCCATGTCCAGGTTTTTACATGGATGCTGGGATCTGAACTCATGATAGCATGCTTGTTCAGCAAAACTCACCCCTGAGCCATCTCTCCAGCTTGTTTTTTTTTTTTCCCCCTCAATAAATTTTGATTGCCTATTGTGCTAGGCTGTATGCATTCTAATGGTACCTCATGAAGCTCCTCTTGGTTTTAGGAATTTAGCAAATATAATTGAATTAATTGCTTACTTGAATGTTGGTAATACAGTCAAGCATGAGTTTCATGGCATACTTTAAAAGAAGCCACATGGTTTTCTTGCATATATGTGTACTATATGTATGCAGTACCCATGGGAACCAGAAGACGACACCAGGACTAAACAGATGGTTGTGAGCTGCCACATGGGTGTGGGGAATTGAACATGGATCTTTTGGGAGAGCAGCCAGTGCTCATAGCCTATTCCTCCAGCCCCAATGGTAGATTTTTCAAAGCTTGGCGGTAGGGTTAGGGGAACTGAAAAATGTTCAAATGAACCATCCAAGTGCTGTTAATTTTCTGTTTTTCCCTTGAAATGGAATGCACAACAGTAAGTGCTGCCATTGTGTTTACATTTGTTGATGTGTTTGCTTTTCATCTCTGTTGTGTTTCCAGTCTAGATGCAAAGCTAGCTTATTGCTACCCTCTGAGACATATGACCAAATAAGGAAGGGTTTGGAGATAGCTCAGCAGTTAAGAGTGCTGGCTGGCTGCCCAAATCTTCTAGAGGTCCTGAGTTCAAATCCCAGCAACCACATGTTAGATTATAATCATATATAGTGGGGTTCATTGCCCCCTTCTGGTGTGGAGACAAAGCATGTGTGTACATAAACCACATAAATAAACCTTTAGCTGGGCCTGGTGCACTCAGGAGGCAGAAGTAGGTGGATCCATGGGAGTTCGCGGCCAGCCTGGTCTACATAGTAATTTCCAAGACAGCCACTTGTCTCAGAAATAAAAACAAAACAAAACTACCAAAGACAAAAACAAAATAATAAAACAACAACAAAAAAATTCATAGAAAGTTGCGTTTCATAATTGATAGGTAGCTTGTCAACACTATATACCAGGAATGAGCACTTCCCCACCACAAAGACTAATCACAAATGTAGATTCAGAGTGTAAAACAAAAGAATAATAATGGTCATGTTTAACAACCAAATCAAGTAGAAAGGAAGCAATGAAAAAGAAGAACCAGCATTCTAAGCTAGAGGACGGAAAGAACATTGGGAAGCTTGCTTTCGTAGCCAGGCAACATAGGCAGACTTCTGGGGAAGCAGTGGACTCTTAAATGTAAGACTGATATAGTGTGGGCCTGGACAACACAGCTTGCCTCAACCTGTGTGAGAGCTGAAAACGTTGTGTCTGTCCACAGGCTATTGGGGACTTTGGCTTGGGTGCTAATTCTAGGAAATATAGCAAAGGCAGGGATACCCGGAATGCTACATACCTAGTGAGTAACAGTGCAGCAGGGCCAGGCAAGGTGAGAAGAAGTCTGTAGAGCAACTGATGTGGAAGTCCAGCCTTGCAGATTCCCTGCCTTGGCACCAACTCTTTCTATGATGCTATGAGGGGCTGAAGACATGACAAAGATAGGCATGGACTAAGTGGGAAGATGAGCAGGTCTCAAATGAGATCGTGCTTTCAGGTAAGTCCTGGGACACAGTAGTGGTCCTGGAATGGAAAGAGAATTCAAAAGATTTTAAAGGAAGGGATTTTGTGGTAGGAGGAAGGGGAGATGGTCAAGGCCATGTTACAATTTCTTATGATTCTATAAGTCTGAAGAGAATCGAAGAGAATTGTCCCTGAGAAGCAATTAGGATGGAAGAATTTTGTTTCTGTTCTCATACATTGGCAGTTCTGCCATGAACATGATAATACATGTGCGACTGATGGCCTTCACACAACATGGTCAAACTGAAGTGAAGCCACAGTACTAGGAGCTGTGGAGACTCAGACACAACAAGCAGCATGTGCCCGCACTGTGAGGATCTGTGGGGATGTGGTAGAGAATGTCCCTAGAGTACAGTATAGGCAAGGCTGTTGGTGAAGAAGCTGTCTTGATAACAATCCTTTTTAGGGTGAGATAGAAACACTGCACTAGAAATTCCAAGAAATCAACAAGAGTAACCCTAGCAACGACTCCTAGTAATAGGGGATGGGGAGCCTGAACCAGCCATCTTCTGTAACCAGGCAAGCCCTCAAGTGGAGAGACTGGGATACCAACACAGCCACAAAACCTTAAACCTACTTTGTCCTTCCTGCAGAGTGTTCTGGGATAGGAGCCTAGCAGAAAGAACCCTCATCAAAGACACCAGAGAGACTTCATCCAGCAACTGATGGGAGCAGATGCAGAGTCCATGGCCAAACATTAGGAGGAGGACGGGGAAGAAGAATCGTAGGAACCAGAGGGGACAAGGACACCATGGGAACACAGCCCACAGATTTAACTGACCAGTACTCACTGGGGCTCAGAGATCAGGGAACCTGTAGGTGTATGACCTAGGTACTTTGCATATGTTATGGCTGAGTAGCTTAGTCTTGTGGGTAACAGTGAGAGCAGGGACAGTCTCATTGTTTTGCCTGCTTATGGGACCCTTTTGATCTTGCTGGGTTGCCTGGTCCAGCCTTGAGGTGATGGGATATGCCTGGTCTTATGTAGCTGTTATGCCATGTTTGGTTGCTGTCCCTGGGAGGCCTGATCTTTTCTGAGGGGAGGTAGAGGTGGATAGGTCTGGGGGACAAGGAAGGTGGGGAGGGGAGAGGCTCAAGGAAGGGGAAACTGCAGCCGGGATGTAATATGTGAGAGAAGAAAGCAAAAGAATCCCTTTGAAAAGATGGCATGAGACTTTTCTGGAAATTTTTTAGTTTAAAAATATTTTTTGAGAGACAGGGTCTTAATTTGTAGCCTCCCACTGCTCTGGAACTCACTGTGTAGACTGGACTGGACTCGAATTCAGAGATCCACTTGTTTTTGTATCCTTCTGAGTATTGAGATTAAAGGTGTACACCACCATACCTGGCAAAAATTACTTTAAAAAGGAATTACTGCTGACAAGAAAGCTTTGAAGTCCTGTAGGCTAGGTCAAGTTCATGTAGATGAGGTCACCCACAGTGAGATAAGAACAACTCGATGCTGGTGGGAATCTCAAAAGATCATTCTAAAGGAATCTGAGCTAAAGGACAAGTGTGGAGGAAGAGGCTCTGGATCAACACCTTAGCGCCCAGTCTCTAGATTTTGCAAGCGTTCATTCTGGTCCATTCAACTCAGACATGACCCAGGAAGATTTTTAAACAGAAATTTAATTGAAAACAAAATTTTAATACAGCTGCATATGATCATTTTAAAATACATTGTGGTTAAACAAAATATGTATGTGAACATATGCGAGTAAAAAACGTGAAAGATACATACATTGTGATCTGTTGTAGTGCACTTGGGTAAGTCATAATTGGTCACTGCAGCATTTTCAAACCATCCAGGTTGCTTATATGTGACATTCCTACCTGGCCTTGTATATAAACATTTGTAGAAATGTTTTGGTGCTACCATCTTCATCAAAGGCATCAACCTCCAATCGAGACTTAGCCATGTTTAAAACCATTAAGAGCAGGAAAGTAAAGTGTGGGCATGTTCAGAAAGTATGAAGAAGGGATCTGGCAAATTTTCAGTCACATTATGTCTGAATTAGGGGAGAAAATGTACAAAAAATATTTGAGGAGAAACAAGACAAAAATGGTTAAGTTTATTCTAGGGACATTTAGATCATTTAATACACATGGTGTTTTCATTAGAAACACCTTTAAGCAATCTCTCCGAAAGTGTTTTGGATGACAAAATATTTGGGGGGGGTGTAGAGACAGTCCTTAAAAGGCAATATGGCAATTCTCCACCAAAACACAGGATGTGACACAATCCCCATTGTGGCTGTGTAGTGCAGAAGGCCATAGCGTATAGTCTCAGTTCTACCAAATCCCCAACGACATGGAGACTAGAAAGCAGAGATTGAGCGACTCCCAGACTAGCTGGGGAGAAATGGACAGAACGGATAGAAATCCAGCCTGGACAGAAATACCAGAACTCCGAGACGTTTTCTGCAGTGAGTCTCAGCTTCCTCCTGTCCCTGCCCTTCAGCTTGTGTCTGCTGCAGTTGAAGAGTTACTGGTAACAAATATTCATGACCCTGTAGGCATAAACCCACTGAATCAAAGCAGAGAAGGACATAGAAGACTTCTTTCAGTTTGTTATGCTTTACAATAGAACAGTCAAAATTCCAAATTCGTATTCAAAGCTCTGGTGGAAGCTCAGGTTTCTATTCATGAAACAGACTTTTTATATTGAAAAAAGTTTGTGCAAAATGTAGTGTGTAAATCAGAGACCACTTCACACTTCTGAAAACTGGGGTGTGCTTTTGGCAAAAGACTCCCCAGTGATGTTCTTGAGGCAGGCACTCATGCTGGAACAGAGTTCGCAGGCACAGTGAACAGCTCCGCCATGACTTCCAATGAAACTTTCTAACAGCTTGTAAATACTCAGGAAGTTCTAGTGCCACTTCCCCAGTGCGGCTTTCGATCCGTGGCCAAGTTATGAAGCAGACATATAGAGCATAAGAGGAAACAGGCCAGAGGCAGTTTGTAAATGTTCCCATAGCAACGGCACCTTGAGTGTTCACTGATTTTCCAGGAGTCTACATAGGTGTGCTACAAGTTCTTGGGCCTTATAAAAACAGTCATCAGAAAAGACGGAGTTGCTGCTGTAGCACAGACTGTCCCCAGATAAGGACCCCCTCATGCTATAAGGATCATGGATGAAATTTTAAGATGCTGTCAATCATAAAACCATGCAACCTTCTCTTTATAAAAATGTGAGAACTAGATGTGGGAACATGAGAAAAGTCACCAAGTGCCCGGTTACATACTTAGCAGAGGTTATCTACCTTGTTTTCTGTGTTATCTGCAGTTAGGAAATGCCTGAAGCTGAACACAAAACCAAGATGAGCTCATCAAAAAAGTCTTGCCCAAGTTGGCCTTTAAATGGAGTTACACCTCTCTGCTATGTTTCTGCAAACACTTTCCTTGATGAACGATTTTTCAGTGTCTTGTTTCTGTGGTAGAGATCTGAATCAATAAAGAGGCCTCTGTAAATAGTATCTTGAGCATCTTTCACAGAACATTTAATGAATGTTCTTCAGAGAATGAAAGGCCCCTCCCCAAGATTCTTATGAATTAGAAAATAATGTGTTTCAACAGTGGTGACTCTTTGTAAAACAAACAAACAAACAAACAAAAAGACCTTAACTTGGCCAAGGTAAAACATTTACGAAGAGTCAAAAGCAGTGGACTAGTATTTGTAGTCCTGATTAAGATTTAAAAAATGTGTTCCATATATTTACTGTCCCATTTACACTGCTTTGAGAATCTTTTAAAGGAAAAATGCTCTCCAGGGACTGAAAAAGAACATGGCAGGCAGGGCTGAAAAATGCATGACCCATGAATCAGCCTGCTATCTAAAAGGAACCAGTTTCCAGTATATAAGCAAAATTAGGAAAGTGACCCAGCATTAAACTGGACCGAGCCTTGGGCAATTAATAAAAATTCACAAGTTAAAAGTATCTAAAGTAAATGTTTTCTTTTTTCAAGTCAAGAGTTGGGTTTGGAAGAATAAAAAATAATCATTATAATGTATTCTGCAACAAACACTATGGAAATAATATAAACTTCACAATTATATATGAAAAGTGAGACAACATTCCATTTGTAAAGTGCCTTCATGTACCAAAACTAGAGGTCAGAGTTCTTTATTTACAAGCCATATTTAGTCACATTTACAGAAGGGCAACGCCACACAGGGAAGCAGCACAGTACAGTGTACAGAACTCGCAAGTGGGCATTGGATAATCACCATTGAGCATTGGCTTCGCCACCACTCATCCCTGTAACCTTAAGGAAATGACGCTTTTCTGGACCTCAGGTTTCTCATCTGAACATGAGAGGTAGAAACAGACTGCTCCCAGCACAGTCTTTGCTTAGGTGTGGAATTCTACAGTAAATAATGCGCTATTCTTAAATCCCAGCATTCTATACCAGGTTGGTTCCCATGTTACTATCTGTAAAAACATGAGAGTTCTGATCGGCTACATTTCAGGGTACTGATTTGGCTGCTTGATAGAGGTACACAGAAGTCACAGTATTTTGGTTACCAGTATATATGTGTAGGCTTTGAAGACTCTAGATAAAGGAACATCAAAATGACATCTGTTGCCATGATCTTACACCTCCACTACAAAAGGGGGTGGATGACAGTAGAGGAACACTAACCTATACATAACCAGATACTGTCCTTCAGAAAGACATACAGAGAGTTTCCAAAATGAGGAAGGTGTACTTCGGCCAAGTTCTTCACCAACTAATACAAAGAATTTTTAAAATACACCTCGTTGGGGATGTTTGTCTGGTAAGGTAAACTTTCCCTGAACAAAGTAGGTTTATTATTCAGAGGAAAACACTTTGGTTATTCATAGATTGGCAAATTTACACTCAGATTGGCCTTGACTTTTTTTTTTTTTTTTTTTAAGAATATTAGCCTAACGTTAGGAATATTTTAAATAAATTTTATTACCATTACCAGGTAGTATTTCTTCATAGGACCATTGGTTAGTATTAGCCTGCATCAAGAACACTAGAAGACAAGCTTTTTTTCTATAAAAAGTAGTTTCTGCTCACATTTTTTTTTTTTTTTTTTTTTTTTTTTTTTTTTGACACACAGGTCTGCAAACATTTAATTAAAGCAAAAAGGAAATGCCAACCTGCTAAATGTTATGAGCTTGAAAACTCTTGGAACAAAGTGCAAAATTAGTTTCATATCAAACATATTTTATGCCACATCAAAGGAAAAAGCAACATTCTTGCGCTGGTGCACTCAGGGTCTAGATACACAGAATGATCCATTTGGACAAAAATTCCATGTGGAATTAAGGGCCCAGTGGAAAGCAGATTTGGTAAATCTTAGAACCACCTAAGTTGACTCCACATACACAGTTCCGATGGAGTCACCAGGATTAGGTGACCACATCCGAGTCTGTGCCTTTATCTAGACCTGTCATTTCCAGAAGTATTCCCCTACCCACTGGGGTCTGTCAGACTTAGCTACTCCACACGGAGTTGAAGAAGCAGCTCGGGGGCCAGGACATCACCATTTTTACTTTTCCTCCTGAAAGACTATGGCACTTTATCAATCAAACCCAATCTACTGCAGCCTGGCGGAAAGCAGACAGGTTTTGAAATCCCACTTGATTTATAAAAGGGTACCACAGACATTGTATGGTATTCTGTTGCAGCTGAGACTGGTACAGCTCTCTTCATATAGGCTGTAGTCAGAAGTAGGAGAAAAAGCACTCAGAAGCTCAGGCAAAAATTAACAGTAAATTCTGCCCCCTTACGAATAAAGTGTCTGTCACTGATCTACACTCTTAATTTTTGCCTTTCAAGGTTTTGAAAATTCTGCTTAACAATACAACTTACTTAAACTAAAGGGAATATTTGTAGGGATAAATGAAGTATAATGGGAAAATGTACACCCAAAGAAAACACCAAGAGTACTTGAGTATTAAGCACCTGTCATTTCAAATTACAGTTTATTTATAATTTAAGACACGGTCTCTCTATGTAGCTCTGGCTGTCCTGGAAAACCAAGATGGCCTTGAACTCAAGAGATCTGCTTGCCTCTGCCTACTGAGTGCTGGGAGTAGTGTGCAACATCATGTCCATCACAATTTTATTTTTCTCGTACTCAAGACCCTAGAAAATCAACTATTTATAAGACTCCAATTTTAGGAAGAATTCTATATCACCACATTTGCTCCATAGTGGTAACAGTTCACACTCAATCAAATGCTGCCCTAGAATTCCTGGAAGTAATTTGTATTTGTGCAAACAAAACTAGAAAAAGAAACTGTACTGCTTGGCACCTGACAAAAAAATATGAAGATGTAAAATGTCACTGCCACTGCTCTTTCTGCCAACTCTGTGGTGCTTTCTCTCATCATTAACAGAATCTGTAAAAATGGCAAGGAGAGCTACTGGAAGATTTACCACACAGGCCAAGAGTTTATAGAATCTGAAATAGAGCAGATTTTTTTTGGTCTAGATGAGTTTTTTTTCTAGTGTATCTACACTTTTGAAAGTGATCTACAAAGTATCTTAATGTGATCACTGAATTTTTTATAAAGCAAAATAATGTCCTTTTTCACAAGACAAGAAATTTAATATAGTTAAACCTATGCTGGAAATACGCAAAAGACAGTTATATATGTTACTAGCAAGTCTTATTTTGTACAAATTGTAGAATATCCATTTTAAAAAAAACATACATATGACCTGACCTTTGATGGTACATTTCTGTGCTGGCAAATATATTTTCGGATACAAAGGCACTTTGAAAACCCAATATGGTTTGGTTCATAAGTTTGCAAGGTACAAACAATTTTACAAACGTATGATTACACTGAAGAATGTCAACACTGACATTACATAGAAAACAGACTTCTGCTTGTTAAAACAACACTGGTTTTGTGGGGATAAAAGCAGTGGTTTCCAGCAGCTTTAGTGAAGACATTAGGAAGCGTGGCGGCCCACGGTTTGAATTTCTCACTAGCTTGGTGTGATGATAGGATGGGCTGAAGGTGATCAGCAAGAACCCCCAGGGGAAAAAGAAGACAACCCAACACCCTAGAACAAACCCAGAAACCTTAGCAATCAGAATGGCTTGGAGGGAAGAGCACACAAGGCCACAGTCTAGGCAGGATCCAGCTGTGGTCCCCAGCATACGCGGATGCTACCTGCACTACTTGGTGCTTCCGAGTTGTAGAGACGACATCCCTATTTTAGAGCACTGGGTAGTACAATGCTTTGGATTGTACAGTACTGGAAAATTTTGGTCCTCAAACAGTTTCTTTTCATTGACTACATAGCTGCAAAGTCAATCTGTACATAAAGCTGCCTCACTCCAGCCTGAAAAATAGAGAGAAAAAAATTAGAACACCAAACCTGTAAAACTGGTAACAAACAGATGAACATTCTAGAAAAGTGGCAGGAAAGCAAAAACAACACCTCATTTGTTTTTGAAAATGGAATTATTTTTGTCTTGTGCTTCTAAGAAACAATCTATTTTCATTGTAAGTTGTCTAACCATTACAGGAAAAAAAGAAAAAAGTCCACGCTATTAGTCTCATGCCCTCTCACGTGTTATCAGATGGAATTATCCATTTGTCATCACTGATGTCTAGATTTTATCAATGCCTGTTGCCCGGCTTTCACATTTTTGTTTATTCTCAGTAAGGACAAGACAATGTTTGATTAGTTAGCCACTACTGAAACCAGCTCACCAAAGGCTAAACATTCCCATGACATCTGCATTTATTCAATAATCACAGCCAGCAACTTGTTACTTACTTTACATTTCAATTGCTCCAGTTTGGAATATAAACGTGCTATTCAAGAACACTGCTCTCTAAATTCTTCTATATTATCAATTCTATTCTCTCAACTGGGTCATTTCTATTAGTGTCAACATACTATACTTTCTTCTACCTTAAAACCTTTTACTTAGTCCAGCACCCCTTCCTGCCTGGACAGAGAAAGTCAAAAATCCCAAACGTGTCCCAAAATTAAATCCCAAATTAGTCACAATCTCTAATTCCTTTGCTCTTGCAGTCACTTCAGCCCTGATTTTACAACTCACCATTTTCTAAAATGATCTGCCAAGCAACTTGCAAACTGCTCATACCATTCCACACCCAGTTCTCAGTCCTGACTATCAGGAATAATACACAAAGCATTGTTCCCTGTGGCACTGCCAGAGAATATTCACTGGTCAATCACTTGCCAAACTGTCAGTCTCTTTCACTGTGTCTTCTATCCTATCACTGTGCAATAAACACAGACAAACCCAAAAGCGTAGTCCTTGTAATCTACACTTGTTTTCTAATGCTCCCATCTCAAAGACAAACTGTAAATCAACCTTGTATGTATTCACACTTCCTTGTTTATACGTCCAGACAGGAGCCTGCACCTACAACTTGCACTGTTACTTGACATTTTACTGGGGGAATCTAAGAAGCAGCACAGGACTACTTTGTTCTCTCTTCCCATCAATCCTGTTGCCCTACCCTCAGTACTACTCCTTCTAAAGATATTCTGTTTCTCACATCTAATATCCAACCTACTTGCAAAACTTGGTGGCTTCCCATCCAAAATATTATCTAAACCCAGAACTTGACCACTTTACATCATCTCCATCACTGTGAAACTACCCTAGCCACAATCAGCTCCTGTCTAGATTTTATCAATGCCCCTTGCCTGGTTTTCACATTTCTGCTTATTCTGAGCAAATAACTAGAATGACAAGCATCCCTCTATGACTCCAACCATCCATCAGCAGATCTCCCTTAGTCCTTACAATGGCCACCATGCTGCATGGAATATGGCTCCCGACTTGCCTTTGATCTCACTTAGCTATTCCCCTTAGCCATTCAGCCTTCCTGTGAACTATGTTCTTTAAGACTGCCACAGGACTGTTTTGGAATATTCCTTTACACTGTGTGAAGAGGTGTCACTCTGATTGGTTTACTAAGGAGCTGGATGGCCAATAGCTAGGCAGGAAGATGTTAAATGGGACTTCAGGGAACAGAGAGGATTCGGAGAGGAAGACAGGGTTTCGAGCCAGACTCAGAAAAGCGACATGAACAGTACGGAGAAGTGAGGTAACAATGCATGCAACAGAACTTAGACAACATAAATTATTTAATTTAACTAGTAAATAAAAGCTAGTGGGATGAGCCTAAGCTAAGGCCAAGCTTTCATAATTAATGTCTCTGGGTTGTTATTTGGGAGCTGGTGGTACAAAGAAAGACTTGTAATACAAGACATTCTCGTCACACCCTTACCAGACATCAGTGAGGCCTATCCTCACAACCCTTACAAAATGCATTCACTTTTTTAATAAAACAAGTATTTACTCTTGCATTTATTGTTTTTCCAAGCAAGAGCATCTCACCTAGGGATACAAAAGGGGGTGGGGGGGGAACATAGCAAAACAGCCTTGTCTTCACAGAGTTTATATTCTATCAGGCACTGGAAAAGCAGAAGGAATGACAAAAGAAGAAAACACCTGTTGTCAGATGTAATGCCAGAGAGGAAAAGCAAAGCTTGTTTAAGAGGAGGCAGATACTTCAGACACCCCCAGTCTCCTCTCGCTCTTACCCAAATACCTGCCTCTTTGTCAGGTCAACTTATGACCAGTACATTACACATTACAGACACACCTACCCTGTCACTTAAGATCAGAAAGATTACTTATTCGGTGTGTTTATTATTTCTGTTCTTCTACTATAATGTAATCTCTCCAGGAGAAACATATTTGACTTTTTTTTTTTTTTGCATTCCAGAGTCCCAGAACCTTTGTAGTATCTGACAGAAAGCAAGCGGTCAATAAATATTATTGAATGAACTAAAATCCTGTTCTTTTCTTTCAACCAAAAACTACTATTAGGCTGGGTGGTGGTGGCACACGCCTTTAATTCCAGCACTCGGGAAGCAGAGGCAGGTGGATCTCTGTGAGTTCGAGGCCAGCCTGGTCTACAGAGCGAGTTCCAGTTCAGTCTCCAAAGCTACAGAGAAACCCTGTCTCGAAAAACAAAAACAAACAAACAAAACCCACTATTAAATAGAAGCAGAAAAGGAAGAAAGACAGAAAGAAAGAAAGATAGAAAGGAAGAAAGAAAGAAAGAAGATGGCTCTTGCCAATATTTTACAAGGAGAGGTTCTCAGTAGGGGATAAAGAGGCATTAATGTGACCTTAGGACAGTAATCACTGGCTCAAAACACTCATCTCTGTTATGGCTCATTTTTCTGGAACTTAGGTGGAAGGATTCTGTGCAATACTGATGAACGCATGAGCTAGCTTCAGGACCTATTCTAGTAGAATAAAAAACTAGACAATCCCTAGGTTGTCAGCATAGAAAATCCACCTTTTGCCTCCCTCTGAAAGCCTTCCCATGGCAAGCTCAAATTTTTGTTACTTAACCTACAGAAAAATGTACTTGTTCCTACTTCTTTTTGGCTCACAGGCTGGTGGGGAAGAACTTAGTGTCTGTATGATCTTTACCTACAAATTAAAACTGAAGCCCCGTTTTCCTCACTGTGAAACAGTGCTGGCGAAATCAGTGCTACTGATTTGCAGGCGTGTTCCATGCTCATCTAATATTTAACAAGTAGTTAATAAACCTGCTAGAGTTTATTACTGTTGTCAGAATCATGTGTGAATGTATGAGAAAAAATATTTCACTTACTACAAGGGCTGTTACTATAAATTCTTCTGATTTACTGCAAATAGGAATTGATTAACTCAATCCAGATGGCTCTGGGATGACTGAGAAACTATTTTTGCAAAGTTCTTCTATGTATAATCTTAATAGAAAGTAAAAATATTGCCTAAACATATTGTTTAATATCTTTTCATTTTAAACAAAATTGCTAATGAAAGTAAAATGGGCAAAACAGTTGGGCTCCTTTTTTATTTCTTGCCATTTTCATTACCCCAGTCCTAACATGGGGAAGACAGTAATAAGAAATGAGTAGCCCAAGGCGATGAAAAGGGAAGAGAAAAACAAAGAGGCTAGATAAATTATCTTTGCATAATCATGAGTTAATTACTCAAACTGGTATCAGTCCCCTGAGGGGATAACAGCTTTCCACAAAAGCTCAGTCCAATAGCAAAGATAAAGAAGTCATTTGCTGCATCCCCCTGTCCCTGTGGGGATGGGCAGCTTGGTTCTCCAGTTCCCCATGATCATTTCAATTTCCTTCAGAGCAAAGGGAAAGCCAAATTTCCAGGAAGTTTTCTGGCCAGTGACCTTCTGCCTGATACAAAGAGATTCCGAGTTTAAGCATAGGAGGCCATGACAGCTATCCCAGTAGTCTGTACCTTCTTTAACGACAGAGAACTAGTCAATTTAACCCTGTAAGTTCACTGCCCCTGTCTCCACCTCAAAAGTTAGCCTGGTGCTACAGGCTTGGGAAAGCTCTCAGAAAGAAGTTAAAGTTAGAATATAACTGTAGAAATTGTAGTTTTACTTGTATTCTCTATGGACCAAAACCATAGAGACACATTTTTGCTTGGGTTTTTGACTCATCATGTTAATCTTTATCCCTTCAAAATGCAAGGGGGAGGGAGGTGGCCAGAGAGATGGTCCAGAGGTTAAGAGCATTGCCTGTTCTTCCAGAGGACCCAGGTTCTCCCAGAACCCACATGTTGGCTCACAACCATCTGTAATTCCCATCCCAGGGGATCTGATGCCCTCTTCTGGCCTCTGCTGATACTAGACACATACGATGCATAGACATACATACAGGTGAAACACCCATACATATAAAATGAAGTCATGAAAAACTATTTTATTTTTCCTTGAGAGAGAATTAATGAAACTACACAATTAATGAAATGTAAATAAATACGAATAAGTTATAAGTTAAGAATAACAATATAACTGGTTATCACAACACACCTATTATCTCAGCGCTCTTGAAATAGGTAGGGGCAGGAAGACTACAACTCTGAAGCTGCCCTAGCTACAGAGCAAGTTCAAGAAGGCCAGCCTGGGTTACTTAATGACACTGTGAGAAGGTCAAAGAACTGGGGATACAACTCAGTGTTTACTTAATACCACAAAACCAAGAGGAAAACCAAAAAGCACAGACCTGATTTCTTTTTCTGTAAAACTGACCTGTAGTAATGAATACATTAACTCCTAAGACTCAAACTGATACCCAGTGGGCTCTCAGTAAGTGTCAGCAATGCCATCATTATTGTACCAACCAGTCTCTGAACACAAACACCATACGGTTTAAGGAAAAGCAGCAAACTTGGGGATAAGTAAGATCCCATGGCTGGCTACTCAGCCTGCTATATTTTAGGTTCAGATGATAAGTGAAGATGAGAAAGATGGCTAAGAATAAGTCTGCAGAGCAGGCAAACAAAATCAACACTCAGCAAAGGTTAAAGCCCATTACAAAGAGGGAAAAGGTTGGAAAGGATGAAAACTAGAAACACACTCAGAGAAGGGAAGATGAGCTTTCTTCTATGCATATCACTCAAGCAGAGAAAATGTCTAAGTGACGCAGGTGCTCAGAAAAAAGAAAGGGAGCATGAACACAGGAGACAGGAGGGGGTGGAGTGTTTCTGTAATTTAGGGACTCGGACTTGTGTTGGGAGGAGGCTTTTTGATTCCTTCCTGGATATAACTGTTCACTTCTATTTTGAGGTCAAAGAACAGAGCACAAAAGGCAGAAGCAGGAAGCTAGGGACTCAGGAAGCTGGGGGCTCAGGATGCTGCAGGCTTAGGACTTAAGAGGCATATCAGGGAGTGTGAGCTGGGAAATGGAGCAGGGGTTCTGCCAGGAGACAATGTGTACTAGAATTGGCTGTCTTTTATGCTTTGTGGAATGGCAGAGGATAATGAACCTCAAGCATATTCTAGATCTTTCTTTGAACATACTTAAGATTTTTTCTTCAAATATTATTTCTAACAATACAAAGTCTGTTAAGGCTGAAATTTTAATTGTACAGTATACCATTGAGCTCTTGGCCAGTTTAAACAAAAGCCATGCACCACTGAATTGCTTCTTACAGGTCTCACTTTCCATTTCTAAGTAAACACAAAAACAAACTTTCCATCTTGCCATTATCAACTAATAATTAATTTCAAAATTAGTGTAGATGGACATTGAAAACCTAGAGCTGCACAAGAAAACCTAGAGCATCAACTGCTGGACTACTATTCCCAGCGGAGTCCGAGCACCCATGTGACTTCCAGCAGCTTCCTTCTCCATGCCACACTCAGGCACAAGCTTATGTCTATATCAGCTCAAGACAAATTGGTGACTCTAGAAAATGATATTAAAACTGACAAATCCCATAGTTCTAAAATCATCACATACATAGACTGGATAACCAGATAGAAACATACAATTCTCTGATTTCTGTTTCTTTCAGTTTAAAGTTACCTTAACACAAGCTTTCACAAGAAACACCTTTAACCAAAGCCCGTTCTTTACATTCTTACTCAGGGTCAGGTGTACGGAAGACACCAACACACAGAGGAAACTCAGCAGGAAGTCCTCCTTCTTTAGAACCAAGACTAGACACTTTGGATGAGAGAAAGCATCAGTGGCGGTTTAACAAATGGATTTTGTTCATGATTACATCACTTATTTTGTGTGTGGGTGCTTGTGGAGGTCAAAGCAGTCATTTCTCTGACCTCCCCGCCCCCCCCCCCCCATCATGAAAGGCCAGGCCACCAGGCTTGGCACTGAGGTCATTTACCTGCTGAGACATCTCACTGTGTGTAATTTTTCCTCCCTCAAAAAAGCAGTAACCTGGGTTTCACTTTGATAAGTGAGAGTTATGAGTAAGATGTAACTTAAAATACAAAGTAATTTACAGACTTGCATTTCATGAAATGAAATTAGTTACAGCAAGCTGTGACATTTACTCATGCTACAAGGACAGGCTACTGCATAAGCAGAAAAAGGAAATGCATTATATAAATATTCTATTCTGGTATGTGAGAATTTAAACAAAAAAGTTAAAAAAATTTAAACCACTAAGTATAGGAATACAAGTTATTTTAGAGACAAGACCCCTACTTCTCCGGGGTGGGATGGGAAAGGGCTTTGAATACCTTTACAGAAAGCCTCAAAGGGAATTCCTGATAACTACAAGGAATGAAATCAACTAGTTAGGACCTTAGCTGATTAAAAAAAAAAGGCTTTAAGTATTCGAAGCCCAAACACAGTTTCTGAAACAGAAGAGGCAGCTGAAGGAACATTAAAATGCAGCCATTTCCAGAGGCCAGGTTTAAGGGTTTGGGAGCCTCCCTGCTCCTGTGGTTACAGCTCCAGCAGCCCCAACAGATGGCTACTACTTCAAGCATGATTCTCAAACTAGAAAATGCATCCCTTTTCATAGGGAAAATGTGATGCAGTGACAAAGCCATGATCGTGCGGGGTGTCCTAGAAGCTCACAGAAGCCCCGCTACAAGGGTGGGAGCCACACTAGAAGACACTGGGTGAAGGAGAAGACCCGATCTGGAGGGGCCAGTACTGCTCTCCTTTTGTCCCCGAAACATGGAGCCAGAATGAGAAATATTCTAATATACGGTCTAGGCCTCCAAGGCTTCCTTATGAAAGCTATGATGATACATATTTACAGAGACGATATGCATTTATATACTGTGTCTGCTCAGAAAGTGGTTAAAATTCTGAACAAGTGGTACCAGCACACACTACAGCAGAGTCTTTGCTGAATCTAAGATTGGGATTATGTAAATCCTAATTAACATTAGATCTGTCAGTAATTCATTCATAAGGAACCTAAGCATGTGTGTCTCTCATCAGGAGGCAGAATCTCTAATTTATGGAATGCCTTGAATTTAACTAGACTGCATATTATATTCATGTCTGAAGAAGATGTAAAGGAACAGAAATATGTACCCGGTGACACATACATCACAGAAGTCACTCTGCTTAGAGGACTGTTTAGACTTCAGTAACAATACTAACTAAAGTGGAAGGCCCTGGGTCAATACCCAGCACTGGAAAAAAATAAAATAAGAAAGAAAGGAGGGAGAGAGGAAGGGAGGGAGGAAAGAATGCTGTCAAGAAAAATACTTTACGAATTTTGACTCATACTGGAGAACAATGTTTATTTTATTTTATTTTTTTTTACTTTAGTAGCTTCAACATTTGATATGTTAAATATAAGACTTCTAAAGCTAGCAGATACAGAGAAATGTAAGGGTCTTAAAAGAGGCTTGTAACAAGTCATACCTGAGTGAAAATATTATGTGTTTGGCTTAAGATCCACCTGGCATCAGCATCAGGGGCGACTATGAGCTTCAAGGTCCCAACGTAAACATCAGAACAGAGCGTCCAGAAGTGCTGTTCTTGTAAGCTGTAAACTCCTTGTAACTGTTGCACCTGAAACACCGGGCAGATGTCAGTATCAAGATCAAGACAGCACCCTCCCGCCCACATACAACTATGCAGAAACAGAAAAAAGGGATGCCCAAACAAATGCTATGGAGTACTCATGTTCTGGTGACATTGACACTTATCAAAATCTGTCAGGACATCTGAGAGTATCTAGAGGGAAGTTATAACTTCACAAATTGATCATAACTTCACAAATTGATCAGAAGTACAGCCGGGTTACAGAGCTAGAAAAAGAATGACAAAGTAGACCACAAAAAAGGGGGGAAGAAATAAAGGACAGAAATGAACACATACTTAGAAATGATAGAATTCATTACACAGAAAAGGTTCCTTGAAAAGGTTAATAGGCCAGAGGGGCATTTCTTTTATTAAAGATATAATCTTGAATACCTTCACAAAATGGACATATTTTTGAAAACACAGGAAATGCAGTTAAGAAAAAGCATAAAGGTGAGATGACTGCTCTGTTTGCTGATTTTGCAGCCTCCCCTCTCCCCTCAATTCCTTTTCTGGCTCTTCTACCTGTGCTCTGGATGTGGAGGTGAAATCAGCCAAGAGAACAGAACTATGTCCTCTGTCAGGGCCACCACATGCCTTCTCCATGCTTTCAACATTCTTCTGCCCTGTGTCCCCACCCCTGAGAACCTGACCCCTGGCCTGCCCATGCTGGATAGCACTCTCGCCCTGAGCCATTTTGCTGGCCTGACTTTAAACCTTTTCATCCTAATCAGTGCCCAAGATGCCAGATGTGCTGTTTAGCTGTCATCCCCCCAAATGTCTGTCCAGTATTTCAACCTAAATATATAACAAACAGAATCTTACTTTGGAATTAACTTCCCACTCTCAAACACTTCCCAGCCTAGTCTCAGCCTCAACAGTCACATTACCATTTACCAGGCTGTGAGACAACACCCTTTCCCCTTCATTAATGCAATCTTCCTCCAAAAGCACCACAAATGTGTATTTGCCTCCATCTTGCTGCCAGTGACAGCAGTCTCACCCAGCTTTTCTCAAAACATGTTCTCTACATAGGACAATCTTGTTAAAGCACAAAATTCATTACATTCCCGCTGCGCCAAGGCATTCCAGATCTTCCCACTGTGAGTGAAGTCTAAGCCTCTTAGCATATGCACAACCTCTAACATCTGGTCCTTGCCTTCTTTCCAACCTTTCAATCACTTTTCCCTGTACTTATCGTGCTGCAGCCACAAAACCTGTTTTGCTAGTCTCCAAATACACTAAATTAGTGTTCCTGCCATAGCTGCCTCACATTAGTGGTTCTCTCTCTCTCTCTCTGTATATGTGTGTGTGTGTGTGTGTGTGTGTGTGTGTGTGTGTGTGTGTGTGTGTGTGTAAGGGGCATTCTGGAGCATTCTTCTTAAGGATTTGTATATGACTGGACACTTCTGGTCATCTGAGTTTCAGTTTCCTTGGCTATGGCTTCCTTGCTGAATATGATGTAGCCATCCACATCTACTACATTCTCATTTCATTTCTCATAGTTCACATCATTGACATTTTCTTAGCATGAGCACCACTTAACATTTGTGTGTCTACTACACTGTGGGTTCCTTGAGAGCACAGGATCTGCTACAAAATAAAATGCAACAAACAGAACACACCGAGAGCTCCAGGGGCTCTGATGTTCCTCCTGTCCTCAACAGGCACCCACATGCATGTGGCATACATACACAGGAATACACACATACACACAGAAATTGGTATTTTTAAATACACTGGTGGGGTGGTATGAAAGAGAATGGTCCCCATAGGCTCATATATTTGAATGCTTAGTCCCCACCGTGTGGAAGGACTGGGAGATGTGGCATTGTTGGAGGAGGTATGTCATTGGGAGTGGCCTTTGAGGTTTCAAAAGACCACATCACACCCAGTGTGTGTATTTGTGTCTCTGTCTCTACCTGCAGATGGGGATGTAGCTTTCTCTTAGCCACTGCTCTAGCACCATGCCTGCCTGCCTGCTGTCATGCTCCCTGCCATAATGATAACAGACTAAGCCTCTGAAACTATAAGCAAGTCCCCAATTAAATGCTTTCTTTTATAAGAGGCACTTTGGTCATGGTGTCTCTCACAGCAAAAGAACAATGAATAAGACAGTTATATGCTTCTATACCTATTCCATCAATTACTTACATTCTGTATTTTTTAATAGCTAAATATCTAGATGAGGACAGTATCCACATTTTCTTTACCAATATTTTCTAGTGAATTTACTTGGGTTTATATGAATGACATTCATGGTAAACATGCAGTCTTAGAAGAAAGATTAAATTATATGCATACGCTACACATATTTATACAAGATGAAAACCCTAACATTTTGGAAACAACATACAATCCAATAAAACTTACCCTCTGATAGCACTGGGGAAGTATATTTTCCAACGAGGGAGGAGTTCTTTGCATTAATATTCCAACAGACTCTCTTAAAAGAGGAATAACACTAAAGGGGAGAAAAAACTTATTAAGCCACATCTTAATAATCCCTGTTTACAAAACAAAACAAAAATTCCTATTTATAATATGGTAATAATATACTTCCTTAAAGAACATAATATGATTTATTAGAATTTCAGGAAAAAATAATTACTGGTCAAATTTTTCATAGACCCAGAAAGCTATTAGAGTGAAGGAGCTAGAGAGAACACAAACATCAACGTAGCTGTTGATCTATTATCCCTAAATCTGGTTATTTATCAGTCATAGCTCAAAAAAAGAGTGTGTGTGTGTGTGTGTGTGTGTATTCATGTACTTGTGCCTGTGGATACCTGAGAAGTCTAGAAAAGGGCTTCAGATCCCCTGGGGCTGTCAGTCGTGAGTCACCCAATGTAGGCTCTGGAACTCAACACTGTTCCTCTGCTAGAGCAGCAAGTACTCATAACAGCTAAGCCATTACCCCAGCCCTATCAGTCAAATTTTCATTATTTAAAATATAGAGCAGCCTGGTTACTCCCACAGATGGATGAGGACTCCTTTAGGAATGGAGGGCAAAGGTCACTATGGGTTGACACAGGTGATCTTCACCCAACACTCAAATTACTGCTTCAGGTTATTTGGATGACCATGTTTAAACAAAACAATTAACAGCACAATGGTAATATTAATGCAATAACCCTCTAATCTAGCTGGACACCAGATTCACCTTGGAGCTCATTTTCATTAGTTTGACATGCTGAACCAGAATATCCAAGGAAGGTCCAGACATCTACAGGTCTGCAAAGCTCTGCAGGTGATTCCGGTGAGTCAGAGGGTGACACTCTGCTCTACTGTTACAGACTGTGGGGAGAGGTCAGAAATAACTTCACTGCCCTTAACAACTGCCACCACTGCTCACTTGAAACTCAGGCACTCTCTAAGCGTCAAATGTAGAGTTCTCTTGGGAGCAGCTGCAGGAGGTGGGGACCACGGGAATTCATGTCTGTGATCTCAAAGCATCTCACAGAAAAATGGAAGCAGAACTGTTCCTTAAGGATCCGTGATATTTCTAACATAAGAAGAGATGCTACAGCAGACCAAGAAGAACAGGGCAACATCTGGCTCATGATCATATTCAGAAGTGTGCCTAAAGGATTCCAGATCTTTCTGACAGATGAGAAGGAGAGGAACTACTAATGGAGACCAAAGGAACAGGGGCTTTGTCTTGCTCACCATCATATTCCCAAGGAGGCCTAGTAAAGTGCTGGTCACCAAGTATGCCCGTGATAAGTGTTGGCTGAATGACTGAAAGATACAGATACCAGGCATTTTAGAATCTAGATTAAAGAAAAGGACACAGAAAAAGAATTAGAAGTATGCTCCCAAACTTTCAAGTAGAGCGATTCTTGAGTAAAGACGGACAGCAATAGGAGCAAAGACAGAAGGAGATTAAGCAGGCAGAAATAACTGGGATCTTACAATATAGTGAAGCACATGGCGACAGCCAGCTTGAGGACAGGCTACTTTACTAACATATGGAGGCACGGGAGCAGCAAGGGTGACATTTTCAACCTAGATAGGAGTTTTTGTCACATTTAAGTAAAACATATTTGTTCAGTAAGATAGCTACAGGAATGAGGAATTAAATATCAGCTGTGACTCCTTCTTAACCCGTTGAGCCTTCGTGCTCTATAAATTAATAAGATGTCCTGACACTACACCCAAGACAGCTCTTAACTACTTTATCCTAGTCCATAGCCACAGTGTTTTCTTGATCTTTCAGCTGCATCGTTACCTGAGCTTCCGAAGTGTTCCTTGTCACCTAATCTTACTCCTTAAATTCACTTGGCAGGCAGCCTCAGAGATGGCTCCCAAGCCCCTAGGGATTCATGTTCCTATGTGACCTTCCCTCTAAAATGTGTTTAGGATACAGGGAGACCTAACAGTTTGCTAATGGGCAGAGAATGACACATGATGAAATGTGGCTTCCTGATAAGCTGCAGCACTCTGGCCTCTGGCCTAGCTCCCACTTTCACTCTCCCTTGCTACCTCACAGCCGCCATATTGTGAGCTCTTTTACCAAGAGACCCACAGAGCAAGAGAAGAAGGGACCCCTCTACAGAGGAACTAGATTACAGTCCACTAGCCCCCAACAACAGAAGGCTGTCGGCAGCTGCTTGAGAAAGGCTACAAAAGCTTCTCTCTCAGCCAACCCCACAATGACTGCAGCCCCGGCTGACAACTTGATTGCTGCCTTGTGAGAACTCCAGTTAGTTATGCCCAAAGCCTCCTGAGCTACAGGGCCTAGAAGATTTATGTTAGCTACTAGGTTTTTATGGGATCTATCATACCTCTATACATAGCAGCTACTTTCTATAGAGCTAAGAGGCTAACCCACAGACAACAAGCATTGGATCCTATGTTCCCTACAAAACACTGGCTCAAAAGCGCTCCACATCCTAGGGGATGAAATGTGCTCTTTAACATGGTACCATTTGGGGGGAGAGAAGGGAGGTCTCTGATCCCTCTACCTTTACATCCTCTCAATCTCTGTTTCACACTTAAGCTCTTCAAACATGAAGACGTACTTTACCATGTACTTCTGTCATGCTTTGGCTAATGCTATCATCTCTGCCTAGAATGTTCTTAGGTGGCCTTTTTTTTTTTTTTTTTTTTTTTTTTTTCCCCAGCTTCTATTATTTCTTTAAAACTCAAGCCTGCCTTCCTTCAGGGTATATTTCCTGATCATGAATTGTCCTCTGAACTATAAGACATGAATGATGTGCGGCATGGTGGCACATGCCTGTAATCCCAGCATTCACGAGTCTGGGGCCAGATTGGGACACCTACAAAGACTATCTCAGACAAAGAAAGAAAAAAATATCAATGGTATCTATGGGATTATTGTACTGTAAAATCATTAAGTTGCTCTATATACTGAAAGGCATTTCAGTGTTTGATATATAAGTATGTACGGAACAGAATTTACAGCTAAAACCACTGAAAAAATTAATTCAAGGAGTACACTCTAGGTCAGGGAAAATTACTAAACCTTTAAAAATGCTTGAAATTAGCAACAGGAAAAAATGTACTAGTGCAGACAGGAAAAGCTCAGTAGATGAAACACATGGCAACAGGAAAAGTTATCTCCAGTAGATTACACATCACAATGAAGGAAGAAAATATAAATAGAAGGCCATTATATAAAACAATACAATACTGCTCATAACACATTTTTGGGAGTAATGGTTAGGTCAGAGAAGAAAAGTAATTAGAGGAAGAATTGAGGAGCTGGACAGTTAAGAATACTGGCTATTAATTAATTCATCTAAACTTCAGAGCAACACCTATTTCCATCTATCAAACACACTATTAAGATATATGAAGATTCCCTGGGCAAAATAAAGGAGTAGGGGCAAAGAAATGAGAGTGACTAATATATGACTAATCTATACATTATTTTCTTCCCTCCATCATCATTTCTCAAGAGAAAGGAAGGGTAAGTGAGAAAAGGCTTTACATACTTAAAGGGTCAACCGTTAGCTTTACTAATCAGGCTCTTCTAAGAAAACTGGAATGGCTACCAAGTCACAGCCAGCACATAGGCACACCACATAGCTTTCCTAACAATGATTTGAAATGGTGTCAGAGTGTCAGCATTGGAGTTATGGTAGGATACCAAACAGCTGGGGCAAAATAGCACTTGCTTGCTCACAGGAGGAGATGCAACTCAGAACCAAGGTCATGTTCGAAGTCCATAAAATGTAAGAGAAGCTTTCTAAATTGTGTTTAGCTCATGAGTTTCTGTCCATGTTTTTCTGATTAACTACCATAACGGAGAATCATAAAATGGATTTCAGCATGGATCTATCTAGCCATAATGAAAGGATATGGGGGAAAAGGCAAGCTTAGCAAATTCCTGACTGAGGTAAGACTCAGAGCTGCATCCAAACCCTGCAGGGAAAGGAAGAGCAAGCATCTGGAAACAGTCAGAGGCTCGCTTCTGGTTGACTAACTCAATTCTAGCTTTCACAATGGAATGCTATTTTCCTTTCATAAATGACAAGGGATGACTCATTACGCATGGATTTACCAGTAAAACAAAGTAATGATTTCATTCTTCAAAAGCTGGACATAAATCTATAATCCCAAAGCCTTTTAACAGGTTAAATGAGCAGCATTTACTCTGTGCTGCAAGTAACTTTGCAATGAAAATAAATCCAAGTTTTATTGCAGACAGAGCTTTTAGGGAAAGATCATATTTCAACAGTAAATTAAATAATCTATCAGTAGCTATAAGTAAAGTAAACAATGGATTGGGGTTGGTGAGATGGCTCAGCAATTAGCATGCAGAATGAGAAGAACTGAGTTTAGTTCCCAGCACCTATGCTGGCAACTCACAAGTGCCTATAGTTTCAGCTCAGGGGCTCTGATGCCCACTTCTGGGCACACTCACATGAATGTGGACATATACACCGACACACTTAGATACATACAAATTAAAAAAATGTAGGGGGCCTGGAAAGATGACTCAAAGGTTAAGAGCACTTTGTTACTCTTGCAAAATACTAGCACCAGTTCACAGCACCCACACAGTGGCTCACAACACTCTAATGCCCTCTTCTGGCCTCCTTGGGCACCAGGCATGCATGGGAAACACATACATACAAATGTAGGCAAACACTCAAACACTTAAAACATAAAGAACTCTTGAAATCTTTTAAAAGGTACACAAAAACTTGTGAAGAACAACCATACTTAATTAAAAGCTTCAGAGTTGAATAAATATCCAGCAATAATTAAAACACAATTCTTAGGCTGTGTGTGGTGGTGCACACCTTTAATCTCAGCATTAAATCTCTATGAGTTCAAGGCCAGCCTGGTCTATACAGTAAGATTCTGACTTAGGGAAAGGGAAGGAGGGAGGGAAGGAGGGAGAGAGAGAAACAGAGGGAGAGGGAAAGGGAGGGAGGGAGGAAAAGGGAGGCATGAGAGAGAGGGAAGAAGGGAGTAGGAGAGGGAGAGGGA